GTAAACCGTTGCTTCTCATATTCTTGTCAAGATGCTCGCCATTGTGAAGAAGTAGCATCTCGAAGAGCACCCGTATGTCATGTATTTGCGACAACGTCCGCCTCGCCCGCAACACGACATGTACAGGATGTTTCAGGCGCAATTCTTCCTCGTGTACATTGTTCCCGGAGCTCCTCGGTATCAACGTCCTTGGAAGGAGCATCGACTCGATCGGTCGGCTCGCCAAATTCGTACGCGACTACTTGCCTAATTCTCAGCGTCAAACGTCCACGTGCCCAAGTTCGAAGTTGAAAGTTTCCATTGAAACGAAGCTCGCTTTATATGAAATAAGTTGTAAGATTTCGTCGCTGGTTTATACTCGGAAAGTGCGACTTCGTCGTTCGCGCCAAGTTCGAAGATGACTCACGCCCCATATCTTGAAGGCGGAAACACCCTTTTAAACTTATCTTCTGGTGTCTCTCTGTACGGAAAAGTACATTGTGCCTGAGACAACCTGTAGGGACGCGTTACATGAGAATAAACGTGACCCTTTCTGCGTGACGGTCCGGAGCCAGGCAGCGTATATCCCAACTTTCTTTATACGATCCACCTCAACGCTGGAATATATGTGTGTCCCCTTTCCTCCTACGCTATGTCGTCGACAACGATACCGTGTACATTCGTGTGCGATATATTCGACCAGAAACGCACGAGTTCGTTTTTCGTCCCGCCCGATATCATGTATCCATCGAATAGCCGACCAATTACGAATTCGTGCACGGAAAGAAAATTAGCTCTTACAGCTAAATATTAGCTATCCATATAATACAACTGAAATTTAGTCGGCCCGGTTTTTAACTGTGAGAGCTAATTCTTTTTTTCTGTATACAATGAAGAATGAAAAGTTAAATATTAATAGATTACACATAACACACACACACACACACACACACACACACACACACAGAGGCACGCACGCACGCACGAAATATAACGGGAAAGTCTTGAAAATCTTCATTTCACGTTTAATATAAATACACACTCGCTCGCTCCTCAAATACACCGTCTATGAAGAAAGCATGTCAAAACAGGAAACAATCGCGACGTTAAATCAAAGGAGATAAATGAAATTTATATACGAGTCTCTGAAAAATTCGAAGTCATATTTTAACTGAAAGAAGACGAGATATCGCGCGCAAATAAAAGCAGAAATTACAGAACGCATTGGCAAGCGCGGGATTAATGTTTAATGATGCTCCGAAAATGAATATTTCACCGTCTGCGCGACGGATATCTCTGATATGTCGGCCGTTCGGGTTGTTCTCTTTGTGCGATTTACCTCGGTCCGGAGTCGTATATATTCCGGCTCTTTCTCCGAACGTGTGTTTAGATGTGTTTCCATATCCGCAGGCCGCTGCTTGGCTTGTCGGATACAATGCACTCGAACGGGAGTAGTCGACTCCTCTTCTCAGGCCTAAACATGTTTCTATTCGAGAAGCTATCGTGAGAAGAAAACGAGAAATGCGCTAACGTTAAAGAAAAAAAAATACATATGACTTATAATTTTTCTCGCGAATAAAAAAATTCGACTGTTGTCGAAGACACTCGCTCTCTTTCTTTCTCTCTCCTTCGGCTGTAATTAAACGTCGATGCGTACGACGCTTCGATTGCGAACAGATTAAAGTTTCGTTGAATCCCATATTCACGATTGTTACGTTAATCCGTCCTGGTGAATGCATTGCATTTTACATTCAAGGAAAGTGGAACGATTGGATTTCGTGGTGAATCCCGGGAGACTCACAAAAGAGCGTCGCTTTCCGACGCAAACTCGAACTCAAAGGTTCAAAGGTCGCGGGGAGCTGTCGACCAGGCGACCCTGCGTCACGATATTCCTTCTGGCCATCCGTCGATCTCCCTCTCTCTCTCTCTCTCTCTCTCTTCTACGAACGGCAACGGGGGTCGATTGTTGTTTGTTTGTATTCGCCATGAGAGCATCTCCCGGCTGCGTCTAGTGAGATGCATCGGCGTTGTGAAAGGCGGGCGGGGTAGTAGGCTGGGGATGCTCGGGGTGTATCGTATTCTCCATTCTACTACGGTGCATACAGTGCGTGCGGTTGGGGGATGGGGGGACACGACGCGGCTACCAGCCCGAAAATTGAATGTCACTCGGAGAAGAAGTGTCACAATATTCGCGCGCGTCTGCAAGCGAGGGCTGTTTTGTAACTTCGTGTCTCATCTCGTCTTGTCTCGTATGCCGAAGAATCCGTCGTGCGTTTCGTCGCACGATGATCTTTACGGCGGTAGGAACGGCGATCGAGACGATGTGACGAATGTAAGAAATTCTTTCACCGAACCTGATTATTTTCTCCAACGTATTGGCTGCCGATAGAGGTGCCACGAGTGATATTCAGCTTATACAAAATAAACGAAAAAAAATGTCTTTAAATTTTGTTTAATAGATATTATTTTTTTGACTCGGGTTCCTCGAGCGAATTTTTTTTAACTTCACGCACAACTAAACGTATTTCACTTCTGAACTTGGGCTGGGTAACATGTTAATCCGTGTGTAAAAAAATATATTTAAATTTTATTCGATGGATATTATTTTTTTGATTCGTGATTCCTCTCGTTTCACCTCCGGGAAAACAAAATTGTTCCAGCTTCACGTACAGCCAGCGGAATCTCACTTCTGAATTTGCGCCGAGCAATTACACACGTCAACCGACGCGAAAGATATATTTGGACTTTATTTAATAAACGTTACTTTTTCACTCGGTTTCCTCGAGAGGGACAACATTTTTTCAACTTCATATACTACAACAGCTAAGAGAATTTCGCTTCTGACTTTGAGCTGGCCCGCCGATGTGTTTCACCACGTGCTTTAATCCGTTCGTCTTCCTAATGACGACGATTATCCGCCGAGAGATGCACATGTATCGTCGAGTCGTCGTAATGCGAACGTCCGGGCGGCGCGCGACGTTCAATCGCCGTCGTCTAATAATAACATTCTCGCGCGATTCTCGTTGACCGAGAAATCCTTTCGGCATCTGCCGAGTCCAGCCAATTGGTGCGCCTTCTCTGAAAAAGCGTGTCACCGAAGGACACGAGGTCGCCGCCGCCGTAATCCGACGCCCGAATGTTTGACAGAATAATTTTCACGTTAGCGGGGTGCATTATGTGCCTTTATGCTCGCGCCTAGCCCTCGGCATTGTTGCCGAAATAAGCCGTATCCCACACTGCGTCGATCCGCCGGCCTTTTATGCGCTTTCGCACAGTCCTCCCCGCAGCGGCAGCAGCAGCGGGGGAACTTGATAGGAACCGTACGATACAACTGAGAGTCGAAGCTTCAATTTTGTCTTTGAGCCGCCTACTCGTCGCACAGATATTAATTACTTTCATTCTCTTTTCACTACCCTAATAACATCGTCAACGCGTTAACCCCCGTGTTTAAAAATATTCCCGCTCGACTTCTTGAGATTTTTCAAATGTCGGCTCGAAGCATCTCCTTCGCTTTCGGCTGACAAGCGTGGATTCCCCGCTCCGGCTTTAATCGTCGCCCTGATTTCGAGTATGTAATAATTGGTATGGAAAAAAAGAATCACATGAGGGGCGGTGAAGCGCACGATCAAACGTCGCTTTTGAGGGACGCCCCGTCGTAAAAGGAGACACGGTACGACGTCAACCACGAGGAGGAGGAGGAGACATCGCACGATCGGGCCTCTCAGGTCCGTCACTCGACACCAAATCAGACAGAATCTGTCAGAAATCTGTCACCCGGTCACAATGCGAGCCGCGCGGTCCCTCACTCCGGGATTTTATCCACACGTTGAAATCAGACCGGACAGAAGGTGGAAGAGGGAACGGGGAGGAGAGGGGGG